ACAGAGCGGTTCAGATAAATCAGAACATATGATCCACAGAGCGGTTCTGATAAATGAGAAATGATCCACAGAGCGGTTCTGATAAATGAGAAATGATCCACAGAGCGGTTCAGATGGACGTGATGCGTCCAGAGTTAATGTTTTTACAGAGTAGAAGTGAAATAAATGAGCTGCTCAACGTTCAGCTTTATTTTCTTTTTACAGCCTCCACCAGCCGTCGCTCCTCAGACTTTAACTTGATTTATTTCTCGTTAAGCTTTTATTTGTTTCTCAGTAATCTGAGCTCCGACGCACAAAACAAAATCATTTTGTTGCCAATTAGCAGACGATGATGTCTGCAGCTCAGAGGAAGACGACATCATCCCTCATTTCTGTCAGTAAAGGCCTTTTACAGACCGGCCCATCTGTACATCATCATTTCTTTAGAACACGACAGCCTGGGCTGCTCCAACATTTCAATTAAATGTTTGGCTTATTTGTTTTATGTGAAGATAAATCTGCACATGACAGAAGAAAATTAAAACCACAAAGACTTTGAAACCATCTTTTTCTTCATTCTTCTCCTCTGTTGGACGTGAAGAATGAAGTCTATAACATTCAAACTGTAGCTAACGACTTTACGCTCTGCTGGACGAGTCTGTCTGCATGGTGGACCTGGGGCTACTCAATTTGTCCTCAGCACTTTGCTCTGGTCCTTTGGTCTCTGTGAGGGTCTCAGAGGAGTAGGCGGGGCTTAAAGGCTCACATCCCTCCTGCACAGACTCTGGTTCCAAAAATCCATCTAAAACCTGGTTTTAATTCCCAACAGAAGGCTTTGGTCTATAATACACACAGTCTGTGATTGAACCAATTATAAAATGCTTAGTTAAATATAAAAACTAATATGTGTGTGTTCTGACTACCTGTACACCTGTTTGAAGAGGGGCGGTCACATCCAGCAGGTTTTCTACCTGATGAAGACTGAAGAACACTTTGCTTCTGTCCAGCTCAGACAGAACCTGTTGGCCCAGTTCAGCTCATCAGAAGCAGCATGTTCTCAGCGTGTTGGGTTTGTGAGCAGGTGATGACTCTGCTGCGTCGTCCAATCACGTCTCGTCACGTGTACACAGTCAGCCAATAGCGTGCCTGATGGACTTTTTGAGACACGCCCACAACAGCAGACTTAAAGTTAGCGGAGCTAATTCCACTAACTGTTTCCAAAAGTAGCAAAAATGCAAATCTGCTAAACAAAAAACTAGTTCAGCTGTTAGCAGATTAGCAGATAAGCAGCAGCAGTCGTCAAGTCCAATTTAATTATAAAACACATTTAAAACAGCAGCTGTTACCAAAGTGCTTAACAATAAGATCACGGCAGTGATTAAAGAAAAAAAAAAAACAAGACGTGTTTGAAAGCATCAAAATTAAAAAATAGAAAAACAACGAGAAACAATGAAATAGTAAATCAGATCTGTGTTAAACATCAGGTGAGTTTTCAGGAGAGATTTAAAAACAGGAAGTGGCCTGTCTAATGTTGGGGGGCAGACTGTTCCAAAGTTTAGGGCCCGCGACTGAAAACGTCCGATCTCCTCTGATCTTCAGCAGGAGGCAAGTTTCAGAGCAAAAGTTCCCCTGAAACAGAAAAACTGCAGTTTATCAGGCTCACACGTGGTTCTGGACGAGTTCTGGCCCACTCTTCTTTCCATCACCGAGGGTTCTGTTCAGCTCTCTGACCATCCATCACAGTGTTTCAGTCAGGGTCTGGTTCTGGACTCTTACTGGACCTTTGCAGAATCCCGACTCTTTTCTTTCTGACCCGTTCTGTTGTAGATCAGCTGCTGTGTTTGGGATCATGGTCCTGTTGGACCCAGTTAGGTCCAAGTTTCAGCTGTTGGACAGAGGGACCATGGTCCTGGTCCACTCAGTGACTGACAGGAGCCCAAACTATCAGCCTCCACCACCGTGCTGACAGCTGGGAGGAGCTGCTTGCTGCAGTGCATTCTGGGTAAAGATCTGTGCTTTGGTCTGGTTCTGGTCCATAAGTTTTGTGGTTTACAGAAGAGACTTTCTCCTGCAGCCTGTAGAAACCATCTCTACTCCGGACTGTAATCCTGTTTTCTTGTTTTTGATTTTCTCCTGCTGTTGGAGTCAGCCTCCCCATCATCACAAACATCTACACCTCCAGATGCAGGAAGAGGACCACATGCATCATGAAGGACCCCACTCACCCAGCACACACACTTTTTGCCCCGCTCCCCTCAGACAGAAGGTTGAGGAGCATTAAGTGTAGAACCACTAGACTGAGGAACAGATTCTACCCTGAGGCTGTTAGACTCATGAATCTCTAACCAGAATAATCACTGTGAAGAATCACATCATGTTGCTGCTGATCTGTTTCATGCTGCTGCTGATCTGTTTCATGTTGCTGCTGATCTGTTTCATGCTGCT